ATATTGGGAATCACACTTGAGGACGATGGCTAGGCTGTTGGATTGTGTGATTGGCTTGTTGGCTTACTTCACATTTCAGGTTGGTAGTGGGAGCTATCAACTAGGGTGGATTAAGTTTGTTGGCCTACCTAATCAACCCATTTTGGCTTGTTTGTAACGCCCCGCTTGAGGTACGTTGTTATTGTTTCCTCTTTCGCCCTCAATCGAGTTGGTTTTTGTTATTATTGTTTGTTGGAGTGTTATATTGAATGTTGCCCTGAAATTGGTTGAAAATAGAAGAATCTTAGTGAACCAAGCTTCGCCGGGGCGAAGAAGAGTCTTCGCCGCGGCGAAGATGGGTTGAACCAAGGGTGAAACTCTCTGGACAGTTTCGCCGCAGCGACAAAGGTTTCTTCGCCGCGGCGACAGGCTGATTAAAATGTTGAGTGAGTTTTTGACATTTTCTTTCCCAAGGACTATTTGACCATTCTACCCCTAATTAGCAGGAAAAGTGGGGAGTGATTTGTAAGGATTTTTCATGGAGGATATGTTGATATGGGGGTGAGTTTGTAATGAATCAAAGGATATGGATGGAATTTCCATAGAAGAATAAGGGCAAAATGGGAATGAGTGTGTTTATATTTCTTTAAAAGGAATTAGAATCAAAGAAACCCCTCATTTCTCTTCTTCTCAAACGCAACTCTTCATTCTACTCCTCTCAACTTCTCTTTTCTTTTGATCAAGGATTTCCAAGGGATTTTGAAGTGATTTGGGGTATAGAAAACAACCTAAGGCTTCCTAAGGTAAGGATTTCTCCTTAAGTTGTGTGATTTGTAGATTTTAGTTCATTTTGGTTTTTGAGGGTTTTCATTCTTTTGGTTAAGAGTAGAGAGAATAGTCAAGAAAACCAAGTGGAAAGAAGATTTGGTGAAGTCTCTCCATAGCAAGTAAGTAAAACCCAACCCAAGTTGAGATTCATGAAATTTCTTGATTAGGGTTTTGATAGAAATGATGTATGTATTTGATGTGCATGTAATATGCCATGTATGGAGTATTAAATGGAGATTTCTATGCTTTGTGAATGTTAATACCTTGCAAATATGAGAAATGGGTTGTTGGATTGGCAAGGTAGTTGAGATGGAATTGAAGGGGTGTTATGGAACCCTTTTTGGAAGTGTGTTATTTGACAGGTTATTATGACTTTGTGAAGGGGTTTTTCCCCATTTTGGATGGTTAGGAAAAGTTTTAGATTCATGGCTATGATAGAGTTTTATAGTGCACATGAGTTGTTTGATGAAATGCCTAATAGAGAATTGAGTGTGAGTAATGAACCTTAATTCTTGCAACATTGCATGTTGGCATTTCACAAGTGCATTAGTAGAGATGAATCATCCATGTGCATTGTTATATGCATTGACAAGTGACCTAAGAAAGAGTAGGAAACTTTGTGTTTAGAAATACCCTATGAGTAGAGAGCTTAGTGGGTAAAATTACTCTAAGGGTAGAGAGCATTGAAAAATGCTACAATAGAATGAGTTAGAAGAGTAGTATAGTTGGGATGATGCTTTGTGATCATCACCCGACCGTTATGGGAATCGGATTGATGCTTTGTGATCATCATCCGAATAGCCTTGGAGAGATGGGTCGATGCTTAGTGATCGTCACCCAATGAGTAATAGGAATGGGTAGATGCTTTGTGACCACTACCCGATTAGATAAGAGATATGTAGGTTGATGCTTTGTGATCATCATCCAATGGCTAGTAGAAGCGGGTTGATGCTTTGTGATCATCACCCGATAGTGACTAGAGACGGGTAAATGCTTGGTGATCGTTACCCAAAATTCATGAGGAACGGGTAGGTGCTAGGTGATCTCCACCCGATAGTTAGGAGGAACCGAGTTGGTGCTTTGTGATCCTCACTCGGTAGTCACTAAGAACGGGTTGGTACTGTGTGAATTCCACCCGATAGCCATAGAGAGTGAGATGGTGCTGTGTGAACGCCATTCGGCCGTACCTCCGGTAAGATGAGGCCATGATGTTATAGAAACAGAAATAGAAACAGAATTAGAAAAGGAAAGAATTAAGAGTCACACACGGGGACAGACAGTTAGAGAGTTTTACTTACTGAGCATTATTTGTGCTCACCCCGTTATTTTCCTTTGTGGATGCAGGTTCTAGGTGTTGATGCGGTTGGAGGGGCGTCGGCGCGCGAGGAGCAATAGATACACTGTTCCCCTATTTTGTCTTTTAAAATACACTTTTGTAAACAGTAACCTTTGTGTATAAAAGACATGTGAATTGTAATGAAAAGAAACATTTTGGGCCCAATTTTCCATTGTTAATTGCATGCATTGTACTAGTTTTCAGTAGGTGTTACATTGTTCGCCACAACGAAGGTTTGAAATGGGCCAGATGGGATCTCAGTCCACTAGGAAAGCCAACGGGCTTTCCCAAGTCAATAGTGAGGGCTATTGGCTTGAGGAAAATAGTGGGAGTATTTTTTAATAAAAGACCATATTAAGAAATAATAAACATTATATTGATTTTACTTTTCTGAATTGTAGATTCACTTAAAAATGAGAATTATGAACCTACAACCGATAATCGAGAAAGAAAATAGATTGGATGGATCCAATTTCTCGTACTGGTATCATAATCTTCGGATTATACTTAAGTCTGAAAAGAAATTGTATATCCTTGATAAGCCATACATGACTGAGCTTGATTCTGATGCCACTGAGGAAGTAAAGGATACTTATCAAAAGTTCCTTGATGATGGTGATGGCGTTCAATGCATGATGTTAGCATCGATGACACCAGTGTTGCAAAAGCAACATGAGAATATGGATGCTACTGCCATCATTCTACACCTCAAGGAGCTTTACAAAGGGAATGCTTGACATGAGAGGTATAAAGTGTCAAAAGCACTATTTGGAAGTCACCTGACCGAGGTAGCCCAAGTTAGCCCTCATATGCTCAAAATGATCGAGCACATGGAGAGGCTTGAGACTTTGGGGTTTGTGTTGGATGCAGAATTACAAGTGGATTTAATTCTACAATCCTTGCTTGACTCTTATGCATTGTTCACAATGAACTTAAATATGAATGCTATGGAGAAAACCCTGTCGGAGTTTTGAACATGCTAAGGACTGTAGGGCAACCCTAAACCCAAAACCTAAAACCCAAACCCCAAACCCCAAACCCCAAAACCCAAAACCCTAACCCCGAACCCCTAACCCCAAACCCTAAACCCTAAACCTTTTTTTTGGGGGGGGGGGGGAGGTAGGTATTTTATAAAAGAGAGAAAAAATGTACAAATATGAGGGGCATACCCTAAGAGGATGACTGATAATTCTCAGTAAAAAAACACATGGGAAAACCCACAAAGCCACAAACGGCGTAAAAAGGGCATGCAGGCTCACCACAAAACAAAACAAAACAAGAAGATACCATAAATCACAAAGCCACAAAGCCACAAACCGGCATAAAAGTGAACACAGGCTCCTCACAAAGCTAATCAGGAAGATGCTATATCGAACGGAGCTGGGTCGAGATCTCGAACTTAGGTGCTAAACCCAAAATCTTAGCCTGGACTAGATCACAAATAGCTAAGACAGTATCTCTATAAGAGCTACAGTGCTGACGAAACATGCGATTATTTCATTCAAACCATAGGAAATAAAATGTGGCTGAAAGGACTAACCGGGAAAGAAGGTGAAAGAAACCTTTGTCGCCGCGGCGAAACTGTCCAGAGAGTTTCACCCTTGGTTTCAACCCGTCTTCGCCGCGGCGAAGATTCTTCTTCGCCCCGGCGAAGCTTGGTACACTCAAATTCTTCTATTTTCAACCAAAATTCAGGGCAACATTCAACATAACATTCAATCAAACAAAATCAACAAAACCAACTCAAATAAGAGTGAAAGAGGAAACAATAACAACGTACCTCAAGTGGGGCGTTACATATACCGTTTACATGTTTATAAACAAAAATCTGTATAAAGTAATCCATTCAAGGATTATAATACTTACGTACGTTTGGAGGCTCCTTTGAATATCTCTGATTTCGAACAGGAACACTGTTCACAGCACTGTTCATGGGGTACTGTTCACGGTTACTTTATACCATCTATTGTTCACGTGATTTTTCGTCAATCGATCCAAAGTAGGACCGCACTCATGGAAGTCCACACAAAGATAATCTGCAGAACCCTTGATTATTTTGCTAGAACTATAAAGGGTTTCAAGAATCAAGAAAGAAGAACAAGAAAAGTTTTCTTCTTGAGAGAGAGAGAGATAGGGTGGCTTGGGTTTTAATTGAATGAATAATTCCATCATGTTTTAATTTGAAGTTGCACTTATATAGTGCAACAATTAAAACCCTATTCCACTTAGGAATAGTCATGGGATCCAAACCTAGTTTACCCTTACAATCAAACACACCCTTTATGGTATTTTAATTAATTAATTATTATTATAATTAAAATCAATTAATATATAATAATATATTAATATTTAATTAATAATAATAATTCATTTGAATATATACATAGATATATTTAAATATAATCTCACTAATTTAATTTTAATATTAAAATTAAACGCCGGTAGATCTGGCAAAACGGGTCCAGACCAGCGGGTCGGCCCGTACCCGGGTAAAAAGTATAGGGTATGGGTTTAATATGTTGGACCCGTTTAATTTTCACCTGTAGCCAGACCGACTCGTTTTTTGACGGGTTACACGGGTAAACCTGCGGGTGCCCGCGAGTACTCATTTTTTTCAAAGCTGAACCCTAGGTCCCTAACCCACTAATGCCACCCAACTCTAAAACAAACTTTCTCTTCTTCTCACCTCTGAATCTCTCATCACTGTCACTGATTCATTCTCTCAATCTCTCATCTCATCACTCTGTTCAGTGTTCACTTAAGTAGACTTTCATCAGTCATCACTGTCATCATCAGTCATCACTTTAGTGTTCTCATCCGTGAACTGTGATCCCATTCCCAGACCCACCGTCGCCGATCGCCGTCATTCATCCTCGTCGACTCGTCATCTCCTTAGCTTCTCCTTCCTCTTCAGGTTTCGATCTTTGCTTTTTTGATTATTTATTTGAATGCTTTGGTTTCTGAGAAAATTAAAGGAAGTTAAAGAAAGTTTGTGAGTTTTGATGACGTTATTTTTTTGAGAGTGTTTATTTTGTGATTGGATCGTAATTTTTGGATTTTACAGATCTGGGTCGGTGGTTTTAGTTCTTCCTTTCTGTTTGGTTGCCAAGAAAATGCAGGAAAATGAAAAAATAAAATAAAATTTGAGTCTTGATACTATAATTTGTACCAACAAGTTTGGAGAGTGTTGTTTTGTTAATTGAATTGAAAATTTTGGATTTCTGTAGATGTGATATAGTCATTTTAGTTTTATTTTCTATTTGATTGCTAAGAAAATGCAGGAGAAGTAAATAAAACTTAAATGAGTTTTTTGTGATGAAGAGTTTGGAAAGTGTTGATTTATTTTTGTGTGTGTTTATGAAAGTTGTTGAGTTTTTTTTGTGCTTGATGGTTATAGGAGCATGGAAAAGGTGAGCGTTGTGGTTAGGTTTGATGGAACATGGACAACTTCAGCTGATGGGCGTTATGCTTATGATGGTGGTCCGCACGACTGGAATGAGAGTTGTGAAGGGGATCGCATACAAACGTTTTGTGGAAGACCATTAATGAAAATTTTATTTAATTGGTAAATTCTATTTTCATGCTTCATATTTCTTTTTCCCTTCACATCACTTCAATTTTGCAGCACACTTGTGTCCCTGTTGTAGATTCTGCTGATAATTTTGGTGACAATACAAGAGAAAGTCTCCGTAGAAGACTTGAAAAGTTGTTGGTTGTGAGATCCGTCCACCCAAATCAGTTTTGCAGAAATATAAGTAAAATGAATGAATTGGACAAAAAACTCAAATCATTGCAGAAACAAACTGCAAAGGATGAAAATTCACTGGAAAAGGTAACAGAAAAGCTTTTGTTCCGTTGGACAACTTTGAAAGTTTCATTAATTTTCTTATATTTAAGTTGCTTCTTATTTGAATTAAGAGAGTTGAATTAGAGAGTTTTATTCTTCTTCATAATTTTGCAGAATTTGCCCTTATGGCTCTCGTAGAAGGTAACTGAGGGTGGAAGTGGGCTTACTAAGTTGGATAAAGGTGGTCTAGGTGCGATGCATTTTGCAGCTGCTCTTGGTTATGATTAGGCCATAAAAGCCATAATTGTTGCTACAGAAATGAAAATCGATTTGAGAGATAAGAAGGGATGGACTGCACTTCATTGGGCAGCATGCTTTGGCAGGTGAACCACACTTAAAAATATAGCCTCACTCGATCTTTTCATTATGGACTGCACTTCATTGGGCAACATGCTTTGGCAGGTGAACCGCACTTAAAAATACAGCCTCACTCGATCTTTTCATTTACTCATTTAATTTTGCTGATAGTAAAGTTGAATTTGTTTTGATAACAGAATGCATACAGTTGAGTTTCTCACATTTAGTCGTTTAACGAGGATGTAAATATCTGCCCTTTGGAAATCAAAGTCTTATTGCCTTGTATTAACATGTCTGCTCCCCCCATGAGGATATGTGATTATCCTACTCTTTGCTTTTACATTTATTAATATTCGCAGTTGATCATTGTTTTGTAGATGATGAGGTGAATGATGATTCGGATGATGATCTTGATGTGCCATTAACTAATCTCGAGACTATGGAATCAAGAGACTCTATCACGCCCACTGTGGGATGAACATTTGCTGCCCTAAGAATGTTTTTTGTTGAATATTGGATTATGTATTTGTTTATTTTAGTTGGTATTTATAGTTTATTGACTTATTTTGTTTGTTTATGTGTAATTGTGTATTAGTGATTTTGTTTTTGTTTATTATGGTTGGTATTTATAGTTTTGTATTATATGTTATTGTTTGTTTATGTGTTATTTGTTTATTTTGGTTCCTATTTGTTTATATTCTAAATTGAATTGAATTTAGAGTGGTTGATTTATGGGGAGTAAATGTAAAAAATTAAAACTATAGGAATTTTGGGGGTGTAACTGTCATAATTGAAAACTGTTAGGGGTGAAACGAAAAACTAAAATCTGGAGAGAGAAAAAAAAGGTTCACCCGCGGGCCTACCCATACCCATATAGGGTAAGGCACAAGTCCAATATTTTGGGCCCATATATAGACCCGTACCCATTTGACCCGACCCGTATCCGGCCCACCCACCAATTTTGCCAGGTCTAAATACAGGCAACAACCTTAGCAAATTTAATTGCACTGTGAGATTACCAAAATATCTTTTTCTCTTGAAAGACGAAAATACCCTTCTCACAAATTGATTTTTAAATTATCTTCTAAGTGTGTGACCGTAGGCTCCTTATAATATCGGCAGTGAGTAGTAACGCGATTAACACCAATTAATCGTCTCACTACACACAGACCAAGATTGGCCCCTAGAAAGGCATCATGGCCACCCGATAGATTCGGATTCAGCGAAACCGTAGCTTGTCAACGATATGGTTACCATGCAATCAAATCCTTTCATCAACTGTTATCTCATCGAGACTGAGGTACAGAAATAGTGTCAACCTCAGATATCCTCGGCATGTTTGTATTCAGTTATTGGACCAATGACCAGAATATTAAATTGCATTGAGCATCAACTCAATCCCATTGTGGCCACAGATTTAGTGTCATTGTCATTTACTGAATTACCCTGTGAGATAACTTCTCCCATACCCAGGAGTGATGAATCCTTTGTCGATCCACCATAGTCTCGATGCACTTCTTAATGTAGCCAATCACTACCGTATTGATGGCTCTGAATAGAACTATGTTGGGGTAATGTCAAACTACACCACTTAGTGCACAAGGCGCTCTGGTGATCTTAAGTTTAAGGATCACATGCACCACCATCTGTTAGAGGATTTATTCCATAGACACTGGGGTTACCATCAATATGAATCCTCTGGTGGGTCTGTCCAGTGAACTTACCTCTAGCAAGCACCCATGCATTACACCAGCATGTTGGCAAACAACCTTGACAAGTGAGATCAGTCACTGCCTTTCGACAGGGTCGTTCAACACTATGATAGCCTTACCGTATTATTTGTGTCCTTGGTCAGAATAATACTGGGGCTACGGACGTTTCTAGAATGGCCATCATATGTGATCATAGGGTTCCCACTAGCAAGATTTGAAACACTTGATACCCTCATCACGATTCTATCATCCTAAGGACATATATCATTACATACATGATATAGAAGAATATGCATTTTATTGATAAATAAACATTTATTATAGAGTCAATATTATAATAATTGATTGGCTCTAGGGCACCTACTTGGTGTGCTGTCGTAGGCAACTAAAATTAAAACCTAAAAACACATGTAGTAGTGTGAGTAAGGATCGTTCCCACGGAGAGTGTCTAACCGAATTTTATGTTATGTGAACAAGGTTAGGGGGGTTTGAGTTAAACAGAAACAATTTCAGTTAAAAAAAACAATTCAAATTAAATTATCGAAATCAGTCAAAATAATGAACCTTGGTCTAAGTCAACGTCCACCATCGAAATCTTATAACTGATCATCGATGCAAGAATAAATCAATTGTTACTTTGAGTATTCACCGTTGGAACTATTTTCCTATCTCTCCGTAGTTGTAGTTAATTAGAAAACAAGCGATCTAATTAATCTTACTATTAAACAACCCTAGACAAGCGCTAAAAGTTTAATCTAGTAGTAGCCTTTAGGGCTAGAGAAATCGATGAAGCTGAACAACACAAACACAAGTAGTTGTATTTAATTTAGTTGAATGTTCTTCTTAAGATTTAATGATTCCTGACGCAACAAATTCTTAAACCTTAATTACTCACAAGTTAGATGGATCAAACAATTACGGATTTGATATCTAACTTAGTAGTAGATTGCAACGAATAATACACTAGTAGGCCTCCTAGGAATTAAACGAAACAATCATGAAAATAGGCATAGAAGAACATCCAATACTCAAAACATAAATTGAACACTAAAAAAAAGACAGATTAGATCTCACAATTTTATTGATTCCAAGGCCTCCGTTTCCTTTGACCAGGATATGAAAGTTTTAGCCGCTCATGGCCATAATCAAAACTCGAAAAAAGAAAAATTCCAGAAGAGAGAAAGAGAGGTGTGTGTGTTCTCTCCCCAATCTGATCTCTCTCTCCTCTTAAAAATATCCAATTCAAGTATTTGAATTCTATTAAATCTCCTCAAAATATTCTAATATCTTAAAATAACATTTATCCTAATTTGATTCTGATTAATTGAAAATAAAATAAAGTCCTAAAATAAAATAGGAAAGTGGTGTGTCCAGCTGTAACTTGCGTGCAATAGGTATTCAAATCTTCCAATAATAAACTGCCTAATTGACTTGCATGATAGGGCTGAATGTTCTAGAATGTCAGCAATGTCGGTGCGTCAATTTCTAGCCCAATTACAACCTTGATGTAGTGAGTATCTCTCCAAAATCAAAACATAAAAGTTATAGATCTATTTCTTATGGTTCCACAGAATTTTGAAGTATCTCAATCGGATCTCGGATGAGAGAGTTATGCCTAGATTACAAAGAGATGTCGAAACTGTCCGAATTCACCTAACTAGTTTCGTTTTGCATTTAACGCTTCCATTTGCATCCTAAATCAAAATAGAATAATAATGAGTACATTTAGGCAATAGATAAGTATAAAAGACTAGACATTAAGGGGGTTAAATATGACATTTTGCATTCTCATCACTACTCTATCACAAACAACATCTTTTGGTATGCAAATGTTCCATATGGGCATGTGAATGTGGTCTTTTCTTGATCTTTCGGTGTTATTTCAATTTGATTGTATCTTGAGTATCCATCTAGGAAACAATAGAATGCATGGCCCGCTAATCTCTTTAGCATTTGATTGATGAACGGAAGTGGGAAGTGATCTCTGCGTCTCGCGAAGTTAGGCTTCCGATAATCAATGCACACTCGCCACCCTATAACCGTTCTTGTCGGAATGAGTTCATTGTTGTCATTTTGCACCACGGTCATCCCTCCCTTCTTTGGTACAAGTTGGACCGGATTTACCCATGCACTGTCCAAAATTGGGTAAATGATCCTTGCATCTGACAACTTTAAAACCTCTTTTTTCACCACTTCTTGCATTGTTGGATTGAGTCTTCTTTGTGGTTGCATCGTTGGCTTGTAACTTTCTTCCATTAAAATCTTGTGCATGCTTATGTTTACCACTTCTCCAGATTCCATCATTATCGTGCTAAAAAATTACCATCTCTGGAGTGCTGAGGAATGATGCGAGATTTGGACTAAAGAAGAAGAGTTATCACTGTACTGCAACACACTTTGTCTAGAATCAACCGCGCCGTAACACAGTGCCGGGGCACAGTCACAACAGTTAGGAATTTTTCCTCCGTTTTTTATTAGGAAAATAGGGTTAAGAGTCCTAAACTAAATAGAATTAAGGAAAATAAAACCCTAACCCTTGTGGGATATAAATAAAAGTCTTCTAGCATTATTTTGGAGATTCTTTTAGGGAGAATTAGAGGAGGCTAACGCAAGAGAAGATCAAAGTGACATAAATTCTGCAGCTTTTGATTAGGAATATAGAGAAGTGTTCTTATTTCCTTCTTGAACTCAGGTTTCTTATTTCAATAAAGATAATTGTTTCTTTCATCTAGGGCTAAGATGTAGCCTAGTCTCTTGGCTATGTGTTGATTTATGCATGTTAATTTTCATTGAGACTTTTTTTTCCTAAGTTTTACTATTAAGCTTAATGCTTTCGATTCTTAAGAGCTCCAGAATTGAATGATCAACAGACTAGGTTGAGATCGAGAGATGATACCTAGTTAGTCTATGGTAGTAAAACCATTTGTTGAGCGAATGCTAGAGATAGGTTACCATGAATTGAGGTTCTGG